TGGCTTAACAGGTCCTTAACTGTTTCCTGGTAGATTGAGGAGTTTATTGTGCTCTCCATCCCCGTCTTCCAGCTCAGGGGGCTGAATACGCTGCGGATACCTGGTCTGGCTATTAAAGACTGAGGCAAAGGCAGCATTAAGTACCTCAGCCTTGTCCTCACCCTTAGGAGACAATGTTCCTTGCCTTATCCAGTAGGGGATGGAGATTCTCCTTGGCTCTCTTTGTTGTCAATTTATTTGAGAAGCATTTTTTGTTATCCTTTATGACTGTGGCCAGATAGAGCTCTTGATTGTGCCTTATGTACAAGGCACAAAGCCTATACTAGTTTTATCGCATCCAATTTGAGAGATGTTAAGAAATAAGAGACAAAGGAGAAATAGTAACATGTTTCTCTATATACACGTAAATAGCTCAGAGGAAGAGATAAGCCATGGATAAAGAAGTACAAATTGGTATCCAAGCGATACAACCAAGCACTGCTGGAAAGCACTGCTACACTAGCATTTACCTCTCAAGAATGTGACTCTTCAGTAGAAATGCTAAGAATGTGTTTCAAATAAAATATTCAAGTTCCCTCATTTTTTTCATATTTGCAGACTACAGTGCAAGATGGAATCTGATCTGGAAATCAGCCGCACCACCACAGCCATTGTCTCCCACAGCCAACATTGCAAATGCTAAAGTAGAATTCTTCTCAGTTAAGAGAGATGACAAAGCTGCAGAGCACCACAATTGCTGGGGCTGGGCTTCAAACAGGTAAGTACACTCTAAAAAGAATGCCAAAACACACATGCATCCATGCACACATACTCTCTCTGAAACCTTGGAAAAACCTTCAGTTAGAAAGTAGTGAGACTGCAGACTGACTAGGGAGCTAACTCTCTCCACCTGCAAGTTTTTGCTATGCTGCAAGCCAAGTGGTTTCATAGTATTAGACTGTTTTCTACTGGAGTAGAATCCAAGAATAAACCAGGAACAGACGCAGAGCAAAACGTGTTTCCATTACAATGCTTACCTTATAATCACGATTTGCATCGGACAACTGCCAGTTAGCATTTGGCACTCCCATTCTCTTATATTCTTCTGCTAGATCAATAAGCTGCCAGCCTTTGACTTGCTCAGATTCATTTTGTTTTGGATTATAGGAGAAGGCATACAGTTCTTCATATTTTGCTAAAAGGTAAAGAATAAGACTATGTAATGAGTTGTCCCCAAAAATGTCCGAGTGGAGAAAGTGCAGTTGACAAGTCTTGAAATTGCCCAAATTGCAGAGAAAGTCTCAGACTTCAAGATTCTCAGAAGCAAGACTAAATAGATAGTTGACACTTGAAATATTTATTCTGCAACTATCATACTGTTAACTGACACAATTATAGATATTTAGTTAAAGGTAGGTTATGAGAGCTTTCTGGAGTGCGCTTGACCTACTTCAGCCAGGACAAAGAGCAACAAGAGCAAAGCATAAGTCACAAAATTAAGACTGACAAAATTAAACAAGACAAAAAAGCAGGATTATTATAAGACTTCACAAGAGCTAGAAGAACAAACAATTTTTGGAGGTAAGAATAGAAATTTACACCTACTGACCTTTAAAAACAGTAAGTTTTAAAGTTTCCTTTAGAGCAAAAAAGATTTCAAAATATTTTATGTTTTTCCTAATACACTATTCACATATCACAGATAACATTTTATGTTGTTCTAAACACAAAGCACAAAATACAAAAGACCATACTAGGTGACAGAAGTCTCTTGTAAAGCTGAATTGATAGTGCTATTTTAGCATCAAAACTTCAGCTTTATTTTCAAAACTGCATGAAATCAGTAACAAGTTAGTATTTCCTTAGTAGGATTTTATCTAACACACCGATTAAGACAGACAATGTGCCTTTATATTCACAGTTTCAGGGATAACATTAGAAACGCAAAAAATACAGGACTCTCACATTCTATTCGTGATCATCAGTGACCTAGAAAAGGCAGACAACATATCTTCTGAATTTGTATGCAGATTAATACTTAAATCATTAAATGGATTTGCTATGTAAAAGAATTTTAAAAGGCTTTTACATAATGCACACTTTAGAAAAAAAATTATAAGCCATGGATTTCCCACACCACCCCCCTGCCTACCAACTTGTTATCCAGGCATATACTGCAAAGTCCTTCACAGTTTGAAGTATTACCTGTTCTTGACAGCTGAAGCAAAGAGTTATAAATGTCATGACAATCTCTCTCTCTGGGAACAACAAAGTGAACTATCCTGAAGTTCTTGCACTGGATGACAAGGGGGCAGCCAGAAGTGGTCAAGGGAAGTTTTTCCACCGCAGCAATGTGATGATGTAGTATCTGTGGCATACAAAACTCACAGTGTAAGCATACTGATGAAAAATGAGAACAGCATACCATTTAAAAAAGCAGATATAAGACACATTAAGCAATGCTGAATATGGATTTTGACTAATTTTGTGAATCATTTAGTTATAAGAATAAATAAAATTTAGGAGAAATCAAAGACTGGCATTGTGATCAGGATTATCATACTTTGTCAAAATTTAATTATTCTCTTCCACCATATTTTGAGGTGTTACCAAATGTTTGTAAGGGGGGGGCGGGAATCAAGAAGTAAAACTCCACTGGGGTTGTTCAGCCCTCTTCTATAACTTTGCTAACTGACATGCTGACAGTCTAATTAGGCAGGGTCCAACTAGGCTATCAGGTTTTTGTTTTTTTAAAGGATCTACAGGACCATACTTCAGAATTTTCAGGCAAAACAAAGCAAATAAGGGAAAGCAACTCCACGTATGAGATACAGAATATGCAGAAGACTTTAGAATTCCAGTATTCAACACCTATAGAATGAACAGGAGATAAGAAAACACCTCCTATATTACCCATTGCACTATGTAGACATGAAAGTCTCTTAGCTAAATGCCTTTCAACCACTCTAACAGAAGACTGTCACAGTAATGGATATACAAAAGCCCTCCGTAGATTTACCTGTGTGGCAAATCTACACAAAATTTAAGAAAATACATAGGAAAGTTAACAGCTGTTCAACCATGGGAAGAAAGCCACAGATACGTTACCTCAACTGAACAAGATGTTCTTAATAGCATTTCAATTACCTCACTGAAGCAATCATCTCCTCTTAAATATTGATCAGAATTAGACAGGCATCTGAAAACTATGCTGCTAAATATGCATTTGCAAAGAGACTCTATCTTGGAGACATTATCATAATTATACTTGCATTATCATGACAGAAAGGCAATACTCTTGAGCATATGTTCAATTCCCCAAAATGAAACCTTTTAACTCAGTGTACAGGGAGATGCAAGTAATGCTTCTAAATCATGTTCTCCCCAATAACCCATTTTGTATGAAAGGATAACAGTTTGGTTTATACACGGTATCCAAGACCAAATCACAGAAAAATAGCTCTTCCTGAAAGCACCGGGAGGCATCTAGTCAGATAACCAGGATACACGATTAAGGGTAATCCAGAAAAATACACCTACAGGAAAAAAAAATTAACCACACCCAGGGAAATGAGATCTAACCCTGAAGGATGATAGACTTAAGGCACTGAACTCAGTCAGGTAGCTGGGCTACAGTGGAAGCCAGAACTTGATGTCCACAGGTGTGCCACCACAGCACGAAGCAGAAAAATTCATGGGAATTACTGTACTGTACAATCAACTTTGTTTGTACAACATTGGCATTGGTCACCAAGAAGATGGAGGCCCTTCTTAATTCTTTTATTCCAGAGAGGAATATTTGGAAGAAACGGTAACTTACCATTAAAAAATGGCATGGGATCTTCAACATTTCACCAAAGCCTAGATCTCTGGATTGTGCTGTCTCATTTAACCTAGGCAGGATCTATGTACAAGGTAAGTAAACGCAGAAGCTTTAAACCTGATGCTTAAACTATCTACCAATCTCCCACTCCTGCCTCTGAATTGTGGTGCAAGTCAGTTGTTTAAAGAAAACCACCACACATTCATTCATGAATACAAGTGAAGGCTAAAGAAGAAATTACAGCAGCTTGAAGAGGAGTAAACATTTTCAACACTACCTGATTTCAACTGCAGCACTGTCATGCAAGAGTACAATCTGCAAATACAGTTATGATACCATGAACAGGAGAGCGTGGGGAATAACTTGTAACTTAAATGAACATTTTAGTAAACAAATTCAACCTTAGATCAGAAAGAACAAATGCATCTGGAGAACCTATGTTTTTGAGCTGCAAGCATTTGTTATCCTTACCCACGTCTCTCTCTGGCTTGAATCTATGAATAACAGATGAGTTGCTGTAAGGTATAGAGTTCCCGTCAGTGACTTATTGCTCGTGCTGAACCTATCTAGTAATTTCACTTGCTCTACCTGCAAGAAAAAAAAGAAGGGAAAGGGAGCAAAACTTAATTTTTGCAGAAAGCAAAATCCTAACTTTGCAAAAGCTCTGTCAGCTTGTGCAATAATTTTGAAAATGGTAGAATGCATAACACAGCACACATAAAGGTATTTGGTACAAACTATTAAGAACACAGCAGTGGTCACAAACTTTGAGAAGACTGACTAGTTAAAATACTCTGTTTCAATACAGCAGCGCATAGTGAAGGCATCTGAATACTTACTCCATATACGTAACTGCTATGGTTATTTACTAGTAAAAGAAACCAGGATACCAATCTTTTTTAAAAATAATTAAGAACAATTAATTACTAAGGTTTTGGACTACTTCACCAAAGTAGAGCAAGCGCACACCAACAATTTCCTGTTACTGAGATGCCAGCACTGAATTAACAGTTGATCTCAGCAACATGCTTCACTGGCTGTCTGCAAACTCAAAGCCATAAAGATTATGTCCCCCGACTTTAATTTTAGGTATCTACTGGTTTGTTTGGGTTTTTTTTGCATCATCCGCAACTTTAAAAGTCTAGATCATCAAAACCTTGCCTCATGGTTAAAATAAATTCTAGTGAAATGTAAGCATAATACTAATAATTATAACAATCTCCTATAAATTCAAGGACTGTGCTGGCATTTGAAGCAGGTATTTCAAGCCCGAGTCTTGCAAAAGCAAATTTCTCCTCCTGGTATTCAATCAACATTGTTATCTCAATCCTATGGAGAACATTTCAAAAGAAAATGATTTCCAGAGGGCCTGCATTTTATCTGCTGCTCATAACTTCACAGGATCCAGAGTTTGCTTTATTTGAAGCAAACATTACATGATTCTTTGTGTGCAACAGGAAAGGAGTGTGGCGAATGGCTTATCTCCACACATTCCTCTATTTCTTGGCAGCACTGTCTCATTAATGCCAAGTTAAAGCTCTTATGCTTGAGGTTTGCTCCTACTGCCATTAAATGCATGGCAGTACTCCAAAAACTTCCACACCAACAAGACTACCAGCCAGATGAGGTGACTAAGAGAGCCCAGATCTACTGTGTTGATGTTAAGCCATTTTTAATTCATACATGCAAATTTATTTATCTACTAAAAGCACATATAAAACACTAAAAAATTGCCTTTTCAATTCAGGTATTTCTTATAATCTAACAAAGACTAATTTTGTGCTTGAAAGTTGGAAAAGCAGTTTAATGCATACAAAACAGAATGGAGGAAATATAAACATTTAGTAAAAGCTAACACTACTATGATATTCTAGATTTTTTTTCCTTTCTAAACTGAAATTGGAAGCTACATGCATCAGTACCTCAAAATACATCATGCTGTAACCAGCAAGGTATCAGTGCTCAGATACAGAGCAGCATAAATCAATATAGCACAGCCAAAATGCAGACTTCATTTTGGGCAGTTCCACAGCAGCAGCTGCTCAGGTACCTGGTACTGCACCTTCCCAGCAAATCGAGAACTGCCCAGAAACTGCTCCAGTTCTGTTCCAGTAACACAGCCCACAAAATCTGGTATGCGAAGTTCCATTCTCCTCCAGGTAAGAAGACAGCTATTCTCAAAGCTGACGAGGACAGGCATTAGTGCTCCACCTTCCTCTACATAGGTAAAGTCTTCAAGAATTCTGAAAGCTAAGTTCTAGGTATACTTTTCTTAAAGACAACTGAAATGTATTTTAGATTCAGCCTTCATAGATGACATGTTCATTTAAACCTGGCCCAAGACAGCTCTAATGGATACTCAGCTATATAGACACTTTTTTTTTTTGCTTTTTTAATTGTAGATTGTGACAAGTTCCTAGCTATGAAAAACAAGTCAGTCGTCATTTTTTAAGAGAATGGATTCACAAGACTAAGAGATTGAAGACTGCTATTGACTTTTAGCACATCTGTAAACAAAGATCATTTAAAATAGTCAGAAGTGATATTCTGACAGTAGCTAGCACTAACAAATTAATGAGTTCTTACACCAAGAAGAATTTGAACAGCTACCTCAGCTAATATAGAGTATTTACAGTGAAAGAGTCACCAAACAATTTATTTGGATTAGGAGTTACAGATTAAAGGCAAAAAAAAGAGAGCAATGAAGTGTTTCAATACAGGAGACAAGTTGGAACAGACAGGAAGGCTGAAAGTACACCTCTGAAAACTTGTATTAAAAAAGCTGAAGGATTAAATTAGAACAGTTAATGCAAGAGCAAGACAATTACAGTATATCATTCCAAGATTCTTTTATTACAACTTTGTACACCATTCACTGAAATTAAAAGGAGCTTTCCCTTCCCCATTTAAGTCTCAGGCTTGCAAACATAAGTTTAGGATTTAGCAGTCAAGCTAAGCAAAACCTTCCATTTCCAGTACAAAACCCATCAGTATTTTCACTAAAACAGATTTTGACTTTGACTTGACTGAAGAAATTCCAGTCTTTTCTATGTTTTGCCTCAAAATATTTTAAGGGGCACTTTACTTTTAAAGATGCATTGCAAAACTACAATATTCTTAGTTGTAACTTTACCAGTACCACCACTTGTTGACATTGTGAACTGGTTTTCTTCATTTGTTGCTATTTAACTATATATTCTCAGACCAAAGTGATTTTTAAGTTGACCTCACTTCTTTAATCAACATAAAATCTGTTGGACAGTTTAATTTCACAAAAAGCTAAACTTTATTTCAGGTAGCTGTGCTGACAGTTCCAAGACAATTTTAACTTCAGTATTTCCAGCAAACTGAAGTTTGAGGAGGAATAAAACCTATTTCATCACCTTCCCCTAGGGATGGCAGCTTCCCTGCACAGCAGTTCGTTTGTGCAAGACCGCACTGTTATTTCAAGCTTATTTCTCTATTACTTGAATAAAACAAATTGAAAAATTGTGAAGTGCTGTCAGATTAGAAAAAGTAGATGCATCTCAGAACAGTTAGAATGAGATTCAACTTGAGCCTACACATGCACTGAACTTTTAAGGCCCACAGTGCAGGCTATACTTTAGTTTTCTCTCTTCCTATAACTGTAATACTCATTACCATCTAGCATATAAGCATTTTAATCCACCTGGATTTTCAATAAACAAACAGCTTACAAAAAGCTAAGCAAGCATCACAATTATAACCAAAAAAATCACACTATTTCCAACCACGAAATTGATATTTTTAGAATGAGTAATTTTTTGTACGAATTATAAAAATAACTGCTTCAAGTAGTAATTCTAGTATCTTATAAGTTGTTGTTCAGAGCTTGTTTCTCCCTTTAGTTATATTGCTACATTTCCCCAGTAAGGGCCGAAAAATATGCAGAAACACAATCACTTGCAAATGCAAAGAAGTCAGTGACCTGTCACCTTTCAAGTCTCAATTTCAGGTTTGAAACGTAAACAGCTACTCAGATCATCAAGAGACTTTGGTTTTGGTCTAGTTTTTATTTTGAAATCAGCTATTCACTGTAACGATACAGTATTAAGTTCCCAAACAAAGAGTTTCAGGTTTGTAAGTAAATAGGCCGATAAAGAAACTTTATCTCCAACCTGTCAGCTTGGTGCAAGATTATTCCATCCAGTAAACTAAAGTGTCACTAAGAGTAGCTTCATCAGAGGCCTTCCCCTGGTTTCATATATACACATACATACATATATATGACAAATAGAACTAGCTATTAATATTTTATATAAAATTTATATAAGCTGTTACTCAATAAAATTAACATCTTGCTCCTTTATATAATTATTGGTTATAACCCTACTATTTGGAGATGAAATATGACCACTCCTTTTCTCCACACATCTATAAGCATAGTTTAAAGTCATACTGCCGGGTTAGGGAACTGATCACTTAACAATTTCCAGGACCCAGTGGAGAGGGGCAGTCTTTTCAGCAACCCTTGCAGTCAGGGATGATGCGAAAGAAGAGAAAAATGCTGTTAGAAATTTAATTCTATAAAACCTATGACTTTAAAACTTCCTTAAAAATTACTTACAAAAATAAAAAAGACTTTTTTTTTTACATCTTAATTACAGAGGAAAGACAAACTAAAACTAGAAAAAATTCATAGAAGTCTAAAATGTCAACTGCATCTTAGCTAATTTTTTAATAGCCTAACACACTGCACATACACTGATAACTTATGTTGCTAACAACACACACAGAGTCTTTAAAAAGAACAACAAAAAAAAA